CTTTTTATATTTATATAGCGCATTGCACAAAACTATCACGTGTCACCAATGTAGGAAACACCGTTCAAATACGCGTCTAAAATTGCGGCCGGATGAAGGATAGCGCCGTTTTCATCTTCGTACGTGGTACCGGCGATGGTGAAAATCAGCGACGCGCGTCATGCGGCGGCGAGAAAAATTTCCTCACGCGGATGAAAGCGACGGTATTGAATGCAGAGCGATATATACAGGTGTTCTAGTTTGCTCTTTCATCTATGAGTATTTATTCTCTCTCTCTCTCTCTCTCTCTCTCTCTCTCTCTCTCTCTCTCTCTGTAAATATGTTTTTTTTTCCGTATGCATCGAGCATTTCGCGTTCAGAAACAGTCTGAATATAAAACGTGCGATGAATGATGGAATGTTCCGCCGAGAAAACAAGTCTTCCGCAAATGAAATATTCAAATTAGGCGTATCGAGCGACGCGACGTTGTCCTAAAATATCCGCGCCGGAGGAAATGTCACGGTCGAAAACTTCGGTCGGGGGGGAGGAAGGGGGGGAGGGGGGAGGAGTTATACGAGACTAATAAACTTTTTCATCGTGTCGTAAAGAAACTCATCTGTTTTATTCCGCGAGAATTGAGTCAAAACTGTCGTTTTAATAAAAACATATTATTGGACGGCTGAAGATAGCGAGGCAAAACTAAATGTGCCGTCCGTCAAGATGAGAGATTAATTCGACATGTAATTTCGTTGTATTAAAGTCAACAACGTTTGCGAGTTACTGACAATGAGTCACCCACTTCTGCCGGTGTATTATCTCCAACGATCTGCGGACGATGCCTGAATATGCAGTCATAGAGATCGGGGATAGATTTAGCAAAAATGGCGCGAGCGTGCCGTTCGCGCGTTCGACTTGCTCGCGGCTGCACGTTCTCGACAACCGATCCTAATGTCGGCGTTCCAAGATTTGCCGCGTGCAACGCGCTCGGATCTGATGATATCATCCGTCGAGCGTGACAGTGACAGGCGTCACTATCGATTATGCACGATGCGCGCATAAGCCGCCGCACGATTGTCGATCCCGTCGCGCATTCTCCGCTAGCGCATTCCACCGCGATCGCGTATTCCATTTGTATTCGGCGCTTGACAGCCAAAGTTCACACGTTCGCTCTCTCTCTCTCTCTCTCTTTCTCTCTCTTCCTCTCACCTCGCGTACCTACGTATAAGGAACCCGATTTCACGTGACGACAGCGCATCAATTCTCCGCCGGTCATAACACGCGAGCGCGATGGCAGATTTCGATACTTGTAAAATGATTTCCTTCACGCTACGGTGGGCGGGAAGGGGGATGAGAGGACACGGGGACTTTCCTACGACGTTTTCAGATATAAGTCATTTATCTCGAACGGGGAGGGGAGGGGAGGGGAGGGGGAGCTCACGGCCCCGATAAACTCGCCGAGATCGATGTATACAACCGCGTTAATTTATATTCGCGTCTCGCCCAGCGTTTCTTTGACGATGTTTCTTTATATAAATTCCCCGAATCGTAACGTGGCGCAAAGTGTTGCCGGAAACGTCATGCAAATCGCATGCGGACGAGACCGATATTTAATCGCGCAGTTATAGCGTAGAACGCGTGCCTGCGTCGGTCCCATTAAGGTGTGTACGCTGTACAATCAAGCAATGTATGCCGTGCCGTGTTGCACGTCGTACACGCGGATAAACATGTGGCGCGTCAGATATTATAGACACGAGTTGGTTAGTCCGTAACGGCCAATGGATCATGAACGTTGAAACGGAGTAGACACCTATAAATATCGCTTGTGGGAGCGAGAAGAGGAATGCCGAGATTGACAATGGAAAGGGAGAAAGGGGGAGAAAGAGTGAGGGAGGGAGACAGAAATTGAAGAGAGACAAAGAGAATGAGAGTGAGAGAGGGAGGGAGCGCGGACGAGGCGGCGATCCGGGATAGCCCGAGAAAGTTTTCCAATTTGAAGCAATTAGTTTGCAGTACGGCGTTGGATGGCATGCATCCAGATAATCGAATATGGGTCAACGTCTAAAGCGGGATGAGGGTCGAGCTACGATCAGAGAGGCTGCGAGAAGCAGAGAGAGAGAGAGAGAGAGAGAGAGACAGAAGGAAGAGAAAGAGACGGGGCGCAAGTTTCCCGAGTGTGTGCACGTGCGACAGCGTGGACCCGTCGCACTTCTGGTATGTCCGACGCGCATAAAACCACGTGGCACAATTCGAGAGAGCAGCGCCCGCCTTAGAATTCTGCCGCGCGATAATCGATTGACCGATCGTCCCCCCGATCCGCAACTGCAATTGATCGATGCACCGGCCGGCGTCTTCGGACGCAGTGATGGAGCTCCAAAGTTTTCCCCCGCCGTATACGTGTGTCTGCGGGCTCTCGGCAATTGCTCTCCGGGCGAGATGTACGAGAAAGAAAATTGCGGCCCTCGCAATCTAAACGCGCAACGTACGCGCGGATTTACCTCTCGGTACTGGCCATATACAGCTTAGAACGATTTACACACGAGAATTTAGAAGGCGGTTATATGTTAATATTTTAGAGAGACGAGATTTTTTTTCCTTTTACTGATATTCCTTTATGTCTCTATTTACAGAATCCGAAGCCAGCTGGGAGGAATGGTGGACCTACGATGGTATTTCCGGTGAGAATATAGCTTTCTTTCTTTCTTTCTTTGAACTTTCTTCACTTTCTTTCTTAGAGAAGATATAAAAGAATCAAAGCAAAAGTGTCAGACGCTTGTTAAATTCGTCCGTTTAAATCGAGAACGCCGATAACTCTAAGTATATGCGAATTGTTAATTAACATTGTTATTACGTAACGTACTGGTCATTAGTTATACATATTTACCGTCGAGAGAAACGTTTGCTGAGCTCACGACATTTTTTTCCGGCTCTGCCGCGCCCGTGCCGGCTTTCACGTGTCGAGCGTAATTTCCGCGTTCTTCACTTTTTTGATGTTTCCGACTGTCGCGCGGTATGATAGACAAAGTAGGAAACTTAACCGGCCCCGGTTTCCACCAAGTTTGTTCATTTCGCGCAAAATTCTCGCAACTTCACTACCGAATACTAAGATTTGCGCGACGTTGATAGTAGAATTAACATTATCCCGAGGACGTGGCACGCCCGCCAAGTATATGTTGTACAATTAAAATTAGTTTTATAACATTCTATATATAAATATACATGGTAGTTAATTTATCATGCTGACTGCATCGTACATTTAATTTCTTGTAATACCATTGAGCTCAAGCTTATCGTAAAAATTCAGCTTATACAGAAGAAATGGCGGAATGAAATTCGGCGGCGTATCGATGACAGGTGCATCATTCGCTAAGTGATCACTATTAAATTCCTAAGAACAGGATACAAGCGGTTTCGCGAGCTCAGCCGGTCCGTGCGGCTTCCTAATTTTCTTAATTTTAAGTTACGAGGCCATCGAGTGCCTCCGAGCGCCGGTGAATTTTTTAATCTCGCACCCATCCCCTTCCCCCCTCCCCTCCGTCGTAGTTTTTATTAAAAATAAGGCGAGCGCGCGCGCCGATAAGGCTGCACCACGTCGGTCCTGGCTCTTGAGTTTAGTGTTGTTCCGCCATGCGAGCCAGCTGCCACACGAAAAACAGTGCCGTATACTCGGGGCGTTCGCATAAAACGCCAAAAATTTCAGCTGCACCTCAGTCGTCCACCGACCCTCTCTCTCTCTCTCTCTCTCTCTCTCTCTCTCTCTCTCTCTCTCTCTCTCTCTCTCTCTCTCTCTCTCCATCCTTCCCTTCTTTCCTCCGCTCGTCGTTTCCTTCGATCGGCGCGAGCCCTACCCCGAATTTCTCTTCAGCCTGTTGATGTCGGGGGAGGAAGTTGTTGATCTCATTTCGGAATTTACGAGCGCCACAGAATTTCGCCATCGATTAGCATTAGCTCGAGTGCTGCAACGAAATTAAGCTTCGTTCCGCGAAGTGCCAGTAATATCGTTATCGCAATATTCTTCGCGACGGCGAAACGCGGAACTTATCGCGTCATTTTTCTTCGCCGGGACGGACTTTGCGCTTTGATCTGCGCGCAAACACGGATTTAAAAGGAAAGCTCGAGGGAAATGCGGAAATCCCACTTCAATAAAATGAAAGGGTGTATCATCCTCTATTATCATACATTACGGCTGAGTATCCTGTATTATCGTGTATTACGGCATCGTTCGTTATTTATTATTAATTATATAAATTGTAGCATTTATAGTCTCAATATTATCTGTGTATTTTTGCAATTTAATTCAGAAAGGGATATTTATCAGACATAAGATGTTGTTAGTATCTTATATTTACACTGAGAAAGAAAAATTGTAAAATCAAATGAATCTTTCTTGATTCAACTGTACTTGGCGGTTGTCAAAGAAATATTTGTTAATTCACAAAAATATCATGTTAATGTTATCGATGAATGTTTAATTCAAAAACATATAATTGAACCGAAGAAAAACTGTCAACGAAACGTATTTAGTTATTTTAACAACTTTTTTTCTCTGTGGATATTTTATTTTGTTTTTTTTTTAGATTATTTTACAATCGAGCGCAGCGCGTCGCATTATGTAGGAATTTTTCTACGGAACAGTTCGCGCTTTAGGTGCACCGCTAGGCCGTCGAATCGGCTAGGTGACTTATTACCGGTGATCGGTGGCAGAAGTCGATTTTTAGGGCTCATATCGTGGACAGATGGGGGTTTTCGTTTTACAACCAATAAGCGTGCACCCTTGGTCGCGCACTTTGACCTGAACATTACGTACTCCGCTTTTTCCTTTTTATAGAGAGTTTCCCCACCCCGAGATTTACACCGTGTCCTCTTTCGTCGTTTTGCGAAATCTTTGATAAATCTCAAGGCGAATTTTTCTCAGAGCGCGAAGTCTGATTACTTCGCCGCTTTTATAACTAAATTTTTTTAACGTTCGACACTACCTAGCATCTTCCTAGATAACTTTCGACGGAAAATAAACTGTCAAGGTACTCTTGAATTTAGTCCCGAGATAAGATTTCGTTTCCACCTCCTAGCGGGAATTTAATTTCACCTGCAGAAGCGCATTACCTCATAATTCAAAATTTTGCTAATGAAAAATTAACCGCAGATTGAAGACGAGACGGGAATTATGTTAACGTGATTCTCCTAATGGCTTTAACAGATGTGTTTCTTTAATGCTTAAGGTAGTACATGTTTTACGCGAGTATCAACCGCGGCGGGAAGGCTGCCAATTTCACAGATTCGCTGTGCGCGAGTGCAGCGTGCATGAACAATTGCATTTCCGCGTGTATTTATGCGACGGCGGAATAATCTGGTTACATTACAACGCAGATTGCAAGTTGAGCACTTATGGCTTTTTTTCGACCTCAAAATGCGCCGTCGGAGCCGCGCTTACCGGAACGGCTCTGATTTTATGAGCGACGTGCTGCATAGTACATGATATATCTTTGATTTCGCCTCGGGGGTATTCGAGCAAACTGCAGCAGGGCTGAACTTTGCTACCGTTGTTATATTATAAATGTGAGACGGAAGGAAAAAAAGAAGTTTCGAAAGATATATTGCTTCGATTATTCGCGAACATGGTCGGAACGTGTTCCAGAACGTGTTTACCGGGGCGCGCTCCTCTCTGGACTGCGGATACCTGCCGAAAAAAAAAAAAACGAGGAAACGCGTGAAAGTAACTAATTTAGGAGAACTCGGCGCGCGCGGCGCTCGTTCTTCCGAAGTAAAACTAATACGCTAACGTTTAAGATATCAGAAATTTCACCGACACTTGCGCACCATCGCGCATTGAATTATTGTAAACAAGCGAAATATCTTAATCTCCCAATTACATATTCCGTAGTTTTTGTTCCCATGATGAATGCTAATTCATTATGTACGCGATGCATTCAAGCTGCAGCGTTCGCATCGATTTTATAGCAGATTAAACGCGGCTGCCGCTCTCAGCGCCGATTTTCCATAATAAGGGGGGAAGGGGGGAGGGGAGGGGTGGATACTTCGCGGCCGCGGTGCGGGACGGGATTATTAGGGTCGCGAATTACGGCGGAGTCTGCAATGTGAATCGTCGGACGAATGAGAGCGCGTCGCGGCGAGAGATGGTTTGCGGAGGAAAATCTCCGCGGAAACGCGCGGAACTTTTCCAGGGCGACGGGATTAAGCTCGGCGCGCGCTCTTTCGGGGTCGCTCCTTCACTCCTACCACGCAACTGGTAGCATTGGCAGCACCCCGTTACCTCGACGAATAGTTTCTTAAGCCCGGAGAGGAGAGGAGAGGAGAGAGAGAGAGAGGAGAGAGAGAGAGAGAGAGAGAGAGAGAAGCACTACGAAGCTGAAGATGAAATTTTCGCGGTGCGGCGAGAATATGTCTTTCCGGCTAAAGACGCTGAAAAATGTAACGCGTTTCTCGGGAGGGATTCGTACAGCCTCCAGCCACGCGTTGCATTTCTAGTTGGAACTGCATTACGGACCGCTGTAGAAAAAAAGCCGTTTCAAATTTTAATGCAATAGATACGCAAAAACGATCTCTATTCGTGATAATGTATAATAGTGGAAACTTGAACATTTGTATACAGACTGCAGTGGAGACATTTGCGACGTGTGGAAAATTTTCAATTCACTGTGTAAAAACGACAGAGTCGGCTTTTGACTATTTTATTATATATTTGCACTATTTTTAGACCACGCCGTAAGATGCACGTAAGATGCACGTACGGTGGTTGATAACAAAATTTCATGTAGAACGTACGGAAACTTGATGAACCTGTTTTCGGCGAGTTTGAAAGAAAGGAGACGATTTTCCCGGCGGAAATTGTGAATTGCCTGTTTTCTTGCCGTCCAAATATTTACCCGAATGAATGGCCTTTTCAAACTGCCGACGTGTACCGCGGGCCTGGGCCGGCGGGGGTAGGTTTGCCTGCTAAGTTTTCGGTAGCGACTGAGAGTGCCCGACTACCCGGATATTTGCACATCCGCGTTAAATCACTAACACTAATGTATTTATGAAGGAGAAGTTAGACGAATCTCCATGCAATACGATAATTGAAATTACTGCGCAAACCAGTTTACCAGTGGGAATTGCGGGCTTCTGCGTTCTAAATATTCGAAAGCCTCGCGATATTTGCGCAGCTACATAGAGCGAGAGAGAGAGAGAGAGAGAGAGAGAGAGAGAGAGAGCGAGAGAGAGAGAAAGTGCTTCCTAGCTGCCGCGCTCGCGACAACTGAGAAAATAAGTAATTCCTCGTTGCGGATTAAGTCACCTCTCGGCGCGGTTTTTCTCCACCGCGCCGTATTTTTTCCACAACTTTAATCGAACGTTCTCCCATCGGAGATTTGGACAAAAATATTACTGACCATATTGTGGATATATAACTGTTACTATCTGCTATTATTTCTATACTCTTTGTGATTATTACATTATTTTATTACATGCTGCTAGTGCATTTTTTTTTACTTATTTATCATCTTATAATTTTATATTATTTATATTTGTCTCATTTTGTATATATTTTTCATCTCTACTTCTTGTTTATCATCTATTTAACTTATATTACTTACTTTATATTTTTATATTTGTCAGCTTATTTTGTAATTCATTTTATATCTTCTCTTAGCGTTTAACATTACTTTACTGTCATAATATT